GTGCCCGCCGCCGATGTGGCGGCGGAGCGCGCGCGCCTGCGCGCCGCGCTGCGCGGCGACGTGGCCGCCATCTCCCCGCTCCGCGTCCTGCAGCTCTACTTTGAGCGCCTGGGTTGCAGCGTGCAGGTGCGGGGCGACCCTGGTCGTGTGCCTGCTCTCGCCTCAAACAAGGGCTGGTGGCTGTGGAGTGGTGCGGGAAGGTGATGGCAGGGCTGCGCCAGAAATCGGCAGTCCCTGGCCTGTCGACCTGCAACAATGGATCTGTCGTGATGGCATGTGCACCTGTCATACTCCCGGCAACTCCATCTCATGCAAAACCCCCCCCACCACCCCCCCGCAATTCCTCATCGCAGGCGGTGGCAGCCGACCCGCAGCTGCACGCCATGACGGTGATGGCCGTGGAGGCCGCGGCCGCCGCAGCCATGGCCCCCGAGGGCCCCCCCGCCCTGGCGCCCAGCCTGGTGGCCGCCGCCTGCCTGGCGCACGCGCGGGGCAGGCTGGGCATGACCCCGGTCTGGCCGGAGGCGCTGCAGGCCATGACCGTCTACGCCGCCGAGGACCTGATCCCCGCCGCGCAGGCGGTGGAGGCCGCCACGGCCGCCGCGGCGACGCAGTGCCTGGCGTGAGGGCCGGGCAGGCTCAGGCACGGTCGGCGCGCCACCACGCCTCGATCGCCTGCCGGTTGGCCAAACCCAACCCCGCCAGCCCTGGCAGGGGGCCACCCTCGGCGCCCCTGCCTCGGTTCCCTTCGTCCCCGATTGCCCCTTGAATCCCATGGCCGCGTGGCAGTCCCAGGACTCCACCGCGGTCCCTTTAAACCGAACCCCCCATTATTATCTGCGTCGCCCAGAGGCACACACAGCACCCCTGCCTCGCCACGCTGCATCGATCAGCACCCACCATTGAGGAGACTTTGCCCAGACTTTCCCCTGCCCTGCCATCCTCACCCATGCACACCCCGCACTAGCCGAGATGGATTTTGAGCTGGGCGGGGACGCAGATCCCTCACCCCAAACTATCAAGCCCCCCCAGGGTGGGCGGCACGATACGTACCCCCCTTCCCCCCCATGCCCAGACTGTTATGAGATGCCGCCTGTCCCCCAGTCTGACGCTGTTTCCCAGTCTTGCCTCAGCATGTCCCGGAGGATCTCTGAGCTTGCACCTCAGGGATCCTCCCTGTCTTTTTGATTGTCGGTAGAGTGTTTCTGAGACATCAGGTCTTACCAGTGGCTCAGAGGGACAGAAAGAGGGGGCTGGGTAAGAGAGTCCCAGGTCCAGAGCAGGTCACGACAGGCGTCAAGATGTACGTGGGAATCAACTGGTGGCGGCCGTCCACAGCAGGAAGCTGGTGGCCAAGATGACGGCTGCAGCCGAAGCCCAGGTGATGGGTTCCCTTGCCGCCTGATTGCCGGCCGGCATGCGCCAGATCAGCGGAGCGCTGTCTGTCAAGACGGCCGGGACCTCCTCTGCCGAAGCCCGCCGCGACTGCGCTGCAGCTCGGGGTACCAGCAGGAGCTGGGGAGGCGGGAGCTCGACCGCGGCGTGCATGCTGCGCCACCAGGGCAGCTCCCTGAGCAGGAGAGGGTACCGTGCGTGCAGCGGGACCCTGGCGAGGAGCTCCTCCCTGGCAGTCTCCTTGAGGGAGGTGGCAAGGGGTTGGCGTGCAGTCGGTTGCTGATGCTGGATTGGGGGCAAGGTGTGGCCAGACACTTGCAAAGCAAGGCTGTTGGGTGGCACCCCAGGGCATCTTGTGGCATCCCTTTTCAACAGTCCTTGCCAAACAGCCAGTACAGCCAACCCCTCGCCCAGCCCCTTATTCGCCAAAGCGGCTTCTCCTACCTGTGCAGCGAGCTGCAGCTCCACTGCCAGCACAGTGGGGTCGGCCCAGAGGGTGATGTTCTCGACGTCGACCCGTCCATGCAGGAGGGTGGGGGGCACCTCCCCCACCGCGGCCGCAGACTGCAGCTGGTAGACATCGGCGAAGATCTCGGCAGGAAGAGGCTGGAGCAGCAGGAGTCGCTTTGTGTCGTGCACGGCGGTGACTGGTACGGATACCACGAGACTCCTGTGTGCACCGCTGCCCTCCAACACCCTACGAATAACCACGGGATCGGACTGCAGATGCAGCGGACAATTTCCGGAAGGGCCACAGTAGTACTCCAAGGCTTCCTTTATCACATGCGATTGACCCAAAGCTGCCGCTCCGATGAATTGTGAGACGAGGGTTGCGGTGACCACGGTCCAGGCTCCGCGCATCAGTGTAGCAGTGCTCGCTGCCCTGCGAAGGCCCATCACATGTCAGATGCGTCTAGATTGATAATTGAGGACTTGAACTGAAGTACAGAGGAGATCGGGCAATAATACACTCAATTGGCTCCTTGTTTCGCGAGGGCGTGGTACCTGAATGGAAGGCATGTGAAATGGAATTCCTGCTGCTGTCATTTCGAAATTCGCAACATCAGAACTATGATACGGTGACACAGTGACGACCAAACGAGACAGAAACAAAAATATAATGTCATTATAAGTGCCGGGGTGATGAATTTGGACGTCTCCCTTGGCATCCCTGTCTGAACTGTGACTCCACTTCCGCCTCCCATCAGACCACTGATCAGTCCCCATGCCACGACTCCGGAGCTCACCTGCTCCAGCACAGGACCACAAAGGCGATACAAAGAACATGTGTGAGGCAAACATTCCCAATCCTGGCTTTTGGGATACCCGTGAAGGCTGCAGAGCGTGCGGCGAGACCACCTTCACCTTCGAGCCCGGCCCACGAACCATGCTGGAGTGTGACTGCTGTCAGGGTGTCTTCTGTCACGTGGCATGCTTCGAGCAGGAAAAGGGGGAGACCCTGGATCTCGACCTCCTCCGATCTCCAAGCTTCCAGTGGCACTGCTCCAATGAGTGCTCCCGCATCGCTGCTGGCTTGGTGGCGCGTACAGGTCGCAGGGTGCCAGTGGGATCCGGCGGCATGCTCTCCGTGGAGCTCGCACGATATGCCCCTTCCATCAGAGGTTTGTGATGGAATAGGCATGAGGGGCTTGGAGAATTGGTCTGGTCTTCGGATGGTGATATCCTGGACTATGCCCATAGGCATGCTGTCATGTCACGACATGATGCAGACAGGGTTCAGGGGGATCTCCTCATCACCGCTGCGCTCATGGGGATCACAAACACACGCAGGGAGCACGGCCATCGCGGACATGGCAATACAGATCTTCCAGTCTGCCTTCAGTAAGTGCTGCAGTTGGCACTGGGTGTGCTGTTAAGCCTGTGTACTGATTCCATAAGTTCTGGAGTGTGTGGGGGAGAAGGATGTGACATTACAAGTTCCACAGCAGTTGTATCAATATGATCCTTGCACATCCCATAACCACCCATAGAGCCGGTGCCGTTGGACGATGGGCGCGACCTTTTGACGCTGGTGTGTCATTCATATCAAACACCTGCCGCACCACCGAATGGGAAACAGAGCCAGACTGAGGAGTATGACTTCAGTGAGTGGCTCAAGGGCTATGCCAGACTTCGTGATGTCTCAGTGATGCCTTGATGACTAGGATTGTATAGGTTTAGGTGGCAGGTGCTGGCCACTCACCTGAAAACTGCAGCCGCATCCCCGACTCCTCAGTCGCCCTCTCCCCTCAGGCAACTTCAGGCTGTTTGTACTACGCAAAGGCGCAAACGTGGCATGCGTTGCCACTGTCAGGTGGGGTACAGGAGTATCGTCATCATGATCACAGTCTCGAAACCTGGGAGTCGACACTGCCAGGTGCTCCAACCCGCGGATGCGACTGTGCCCGGCCCCTTCCACATCGACGGCATCCCATGCCTCCTCCCAACCAGGGTCTGCGGTGATAAATTTGCAGAAGTCCCCTTTGTGGCCACCAGAGAAGGGTACAGGCGGGCGGGGTTATGCAAGGTCCTGATCAAGGTTTGTCCATGCTGTGCATTGAGGCTGTGCTGGGTCCGCACTCACGCATGGCACTGCAGACCCAGGGAATCGCGCAGTGCGCCCTGCCATGCTTGAAGGACGGTCGACCGTGTTCAGCAGCCTCTCTTCCCGGCCCCCTGCTCTGTTCATGCCCTCAGCACGCGCCCTGGGTGCTGCATGTCGATCCCCACACCTCCCTCGCAGGAGCTGCGGGGCATGCTGGCCGGGCTGGGCGTCCGGTTCCTGGTCCTCCCTGCAGTGGAAAGCGTGTGTGACATGTGGTGCACCAACTTTGGCTTCGTGCCTCTCAGGTGCGCCTGGAGCGGAGTTTCAGTCACTGCATTGACCAGAGGGCCTTCGCAGGCCCTCGACGAGCTCGAGCCAGGGTGTGGTGCGCCTCGGCGCTCAAGTGCGCGGCAGCACAGAGACCCATGGGTCACTGAGAAGGCGGCTTCAGAGCACACACCATGAGCATCGTCGCGCCTTGCACCGCCATCACCACCGCGCTCCCACCTCGTGACAGGCCCCTGGACGCCGAGGTCCTGGAGGAGCGAGTGATCATGCCCGACGGCGCAACGCTCCTGTGCAAGCCCTGCGACGAGCGTGCCAAGGGTGCGCCATACGCCCCACGCCAGGCCGCCACGACCGGCACGCCCGGCGGCAAGCGCCGGGCTGCGGCCGGCCTGCCCCGCGCCGCGGGCCCCAAGAAGAGGCGTGGGGCGCGGTTCACCAAGCGCATCAGGAGGGGGCGGCCTGCGTCGGCTCCCACCTACCGCGAGATGTCTGACAGCGATGAAGGTGAGATGGGTGAGCTGTGTCAAGCTGCGGGGCTGCGGTTGGGGGGTATAATGTGGGTGGGTACGACAGCCGAGTCTCAGGGGCACACACCAAGGGGGTTCAGGAGCGTGCATGCACCAATCGTCTCCTGGCACCCTCCTTTCCACCCTTGCCAGGCGCGGACGAGAGCGAGGAGGAGGGGTTCGATCCCGAGCGCGATGCCTCTTGCGCCGAGGAGAGCGAGTCGGAGGGGGAGGGGGCCTTGGAGGCGGAGGCTCCAGACGACACAGCCGTGGCTGCAGTGGGTGCCGTGCGCCGCGCACTCCAGCAGGGGTCTGCAGGCGCCCATGTGCCGCCGCCTGTGGGCCTGGGAGCCCCACCGCGCGTGGCTCCCGCCACAAAACCATCGGCGCACCCGGGCATGGGTTTGCCGCCCCGCGCCCCGCGCGCCCCAGCCCCGCCGGGGTCAGAGGGGCACCGTGAGGGCGCCCTCACGACCAGCCGGCCCGGCTCCAAGCCTCCCGCAGACTGCACCTGCTCCACCTGCGGGACCAGTGATGCAAAGCGCTGGGTCAGGGTCTCGGCGGACCAGACCAGCGTTCCTGCTGGAGAGACAGTGTCGGAGGGTGGCGGGGACAGGGAGGCCCAGGCTCCCAGGGACGGCGGGTGGGAGTGCCCGGTGTGCGCCCGGTACCGGCGGGACCACAAGGGGCAGCCCCGCCCCTCCAGGCTGTGGCTGAAGACGGGGGCGGGCCGGGGTGCTGGGGGAAAGCCAGCGCCGCCGCTGCCTGCCAAGCCCAAGCCAGGTGGGGGCATGATAGGACATTTCATGGAGGGGCCAGAGGGCGTCTGGCATGATGATAAAGGCTAGGCAGTGCCAAATTGGATGTGTTTCAAGCAACATAGCAACTAGAGGACCTGCACCTCATGAACCGTCCATGGCCATCACGAGTTGGCCCCGCTCCCCATCATCCACAGGTGCAGGAATGCCCACCGCTGCGGCCCCTCATGCCACCAGGATTTCCCCCTTGGTCATACTAGAGCTACGCAGGCTGCGTCGATCGACTGCGGAGCGGGAAGCCCAGCAGAAGCTGCACAGGCACACTGTGGCGCTGGCCCTGGCCTCGACGGTCGCAGGTTGGCGTGTGCTGTTTTGGCCGGGTGTTGTCGTTGTGGGGAGAGGGAGGAGTATCATGGACTCTTGAAGCTGTCGTGCATCACAAATGGCATGAGTTGGCAATGAGTGCATCCTCGCAATGGTCGACACAGCATCCTAAACGCCAGTCGATCGCCACAGGTTACATCGAGGAGGCAGTTCTGAAATGCATGCCAGCACACACGGCTTGGACTGCACCCAATTCTACCAAGGAGAGTCTCGAGCTCACGGGTGTTCGTCCAGTTGGGGCCCATCCACCTCACTTCGAGATTGGCACCGCTGTGGAGCAAAACTCCATTGGCCGGAACGTCGCTGGCACCAGAGCTCAACATCTCCCTCAAGCCTGCGGTGAGGCGATTGCTCTGAAACATGCGATAGAGGGCGTGCTGCGGTCGGTGCAAGTTGATGAGCAGATGCAGCAGCCTCTGTCCCAATCACTTGCCATCAGCAGATTCCCTGAAGCCCATTGCGCAGGGAGCTCAGGCGGCAAGATTTTGGGGCCACTGGACAGCCTGTTTTCCATGCTGGTGTGCACGGAGCGCACAGCATCTGAGGAGTAGCTGCATGCCTGATGAGTATTACGAGGCCAGTCAATATGCCCCTGCCGCGCCTTCCACCTCAATCTCTTGATGTGTGATGCAAGTCTTCCTCCTCCCAAATCACGCTCCCCTGTGCATCTCCCTGTCACCTCCAAGTGACTGCTGTGTCCACCCAGACCTTTGTCACCTAGAACACTCTGCTGAATTTCGAACGACAACCTCGCCCTGCCCAATTAGGTCTGATGGACCGGCGACGATGCTATAATCATCAGATCAAAGGCCAAGCGGGGCAGCCAGGGTACACCATGGAGGGGGAGAGGGCAGGGCAAGGTCCATGGCACTGCATAACCGGGCTGGGGAGGACATGGCGTGAGCAGAGGAATCAGAGACGAATGTGCCAAAGAATCAGGCCGAGAAGGCCGAGCTGCTGTCCTTTGGCCACGTCCTGCTTTCCAAGAGCAAGATGCCGGAGCACCAGGGTGGAGCCCTCGCCCCAAAGACAAAGTGTCTTGTCAATGGAGCTCACGCTGTTTGCACTGCCCGCTGCATGCCCAGACAACGTCAGCAGCTCTCGATCTCCTCAAAGGTTGGGGACCGCGCTTCTGTGGAAGGGGCTCTTCCGCCCAGACAGGTCCCAGTCGGCGACGTGCAGCTCCTTGGCTGACTCAGCATCCAGCACCCAGGTCAGCTTGCCTGGCAGGGAGGGCAGCGGTGTGCGTACTAAGAAAGGACCTTGGGCCCATAGGCTGACACGCACAAGTGCAATCTTAGAATATGCTGCAGCAAAGCGGCTCTACATAATACCTCCCATGCGAAGGAAATGCCTTCCCCTAGGACCCTCATCTCGAGTACCGGCCCTCATCACACAGTCCTCACCATGCTTGGGCCTGACGAGTTGTGCGGGCAGCGCCCCCGGCAGGCTCTGCACCTCCAGCACGCGTTGCACGATCTCGGCCTTGCCCTGGCAGAAAATCGAAATAAAGGGGCACAGAGATGAGGCGGGGAGGGGGATGGAAGGCACCCAGTGCACTCTGTGCATGCTGGGCAATTCACACAGGACGGAAAGAAGCGGTGGGGGATGCAGGGATGCCCTGGCACGAAGATAGCACCCCCCTCTGACACCCGTGCTGACCTGGCCCAGGGCGACGATGGCGACATTTGCCGCCGCGTTGATGGCGCTCAGCGACAGCGTGATCCGCTCCGGCGGCGGCTTGGGGGAGTTGGTGATGGGGAGCACCCAGTCGGGGGAGTCCCTGGCCTCTGGCGTGTTTGGGAAGATGGACGCCACATGTCCATCGGGGCCCACACCTGAGAAAGGGCGGCATGAGTGCAGGGGGTCAAGATGCTTGTGAGGCACATGCAGGTGGCGACAGCGGTGGCGACAGCAGAGACTGTTGGTGTTCGCAGGCCGGGCAATTAATCCGAGTGCATGTGGCCTCCCGGCAGGCAGTGGAGCTGCCAGGTGCTTGCCTATGGTCCGCTGCACCCCATGCTCGGGGGCGGTGAGGTCTTGCCCTCGCCCTGCCACCGTGGTACATGCTTTGAGACTCACCCAGCAGAACGAGATCGATGCGGGGCTGGCCATCATCGGTGACGGGCAGCACCCCCGGCCCCAGGTTGAGCAGGAGGCCGGCGTAGTGGGTGGCCGCCAGCGCCGCGCCGACCCCCTCCCGGATGGCCAGCACCTGCTTGGCCGGCACAGGGATCTTGGAGAGCAGGCCCTCGCGCGCCGCCAGCAGGTTGGAGTCCGGCGAGTCATGGGCGACGTTGCGCTCGTCGGCAAAGAGCACGTGCCACCTGGAGAAATCGATGTCGGAGCGGTCTGCCAGGGGGGCCAGGCTCTTCACCAGGCTGCCGCCAGACAGGGCGACGGTGAAGGCGCCGTGCGCCTTGATCGCAGCGGCGGATGCCTGCGGGGGTTGTTTGGTATGTGTGTCTGTGGGGTATTGTCCTCGAGGGGGAGCAGGCATGGAGCATGCAGTGGGCAGGGGCCATGATGCTGGGGCCAGCACCTCAGATCCAGTGGACAGCAGGATGGTGCTGGTGCAGCTCAGAGGCATCATACAGCACAGGGGGCAATCGATGTGGCTGTGGAGAACTCCTTCATTCATGCTTGGCATCCATGATCACACACACCTGGGCGACGAGGTCCGCAAGGCCCTTTGCGGCATGGTCGCTGGTCTCGTGGATGACCACGCTCACGTCCACATCGCCATGGGGGTAGGTGTAGATCGGGGGGGTGGTGTCGATGCCCGGGCCGCGAGACTGGGACAGGGGTGCAGCCGCACCAGACTCCATGAAGTGACCGCCCATCGCCGGTGGGATGCCCTCAGGCCACCTGACGGGGGACGTAACAGGCGGGTGATAAACTATTAAGGGTTGCATATAATCCTTCATGCGATGTACTCTTCCAGCCGCGCGCCATGGACCCGTACGCACTGACTGACGGGGCTGATGACGTTAATGCGGGGGCTGGCCTCAGGCTTGCGCGCTGGGACCTGCTGAGTGCCGTTCGCTGGTGTTGCGCGGGGAACCAGGGCAGAAGACCTGGCAATCGAGGGTCTCTGTGCGAGGGGCTGGAAGGTGCGGGCTGCAAGCATGTCTACAGACTGGCAGCGCACGATGGCAGAGGAGCCGGGTGTATGACCTCGCAAATCACAAATGCCGCCGGCGTTGCGCAGTCGACTTGTGATATGCTGTCGAAGTTATCTACAAGTGTAATATGTTTGCCCATATGTATGCTCAGGTTGCAAAAAGGCGCGCTGTGTCCATGGGTGCGAATTGTTTTAACACGTGCTAAGCATGCTCGGAACCAAGGGGAGTAGGGGCAGGCAAGCTGGAGGTCATACCGGTGAGGCGGTGCCAGTGGCCGCAGCCACAGAGGAAAACATACCTCTCAGCGACTTTCCGCGGTGTGACTTGCTGGTGGCATTTGCTTGTATGACAGCCACCTGTATGCGGCAATGAGGAGCGGAGGATGTGGAGGTATCAGACCGATGTGCTCCCCAGTGATGATGGACTCACTTTCATGGTTCATGCCGATTGCTTGCAACCGCTGTGCATGACATCTTGGTCCTCACCTTGCATGCTATGGCCCGAGCAACAGAGTCACTGTCTAGATGTTGAACTATTCCCTGCAAGAGAGGCATCGTGACAAAGGTCACTGTGAGGATTGATAACCTACTGCTCTGGTCCAAGCCAGGACTGCATATCACTCACAACACTGCCCTGCCTAAACCTCACCTCTTTTAGAACTTCGTCCAATGCCAACGCTGTCTGAGGGTACTTTGAGAAGAGGACTGCATCCGTGAGGGTGCTCACTCTGTACAGCTGTTTGTAGATGTTGATGAGAGCATTCAGAATCTCCGACACTGCAAAGGATATGTATGGGGTGAGAATCGCGTCGTCCAGTGTGATGTGCATGACTCAAGGGCCAGCCGTTTGCACCAGGGACCCTTCGTGAATCACTCACATGCCAGCTCATTATACTCCCCATGCCCAACCGCATAGAAGCAGAGCTCGCCAGTCGGCACCGCAACAATTCGCCCACTCCTATGTGGTGCAATTATAGGGTTATTTCCGGCTCTAGGGTCCTTCGTGGGTGCACAGAAGGAGTCATGGCAGGCACTCGTACATCACACGTCCACGTTCAACATTGAGATTGACCGGCAATCCCTCCCCCTTTTGCTCCCCACCTGTACTGGCCAAGGGCCTCGTCAGCACTGTCGGGCGGCTGGTGGGCGGTGGCTTGGTGCATGGCCTCTCGCAGCTCCCCCTTCTCCGGCTCACTGAACGGCTCATAGAAGCGCTCGTACACGACGTTGCCTCCCTGCCTCGTCGCTATGACCACCGCCCCCACCCTGTCTATCGCCATGCCTGATAATCGCACACAGGGCTTGTGGGTGGTAAAGGCGGGTTCCCTCCGGACTCCTGGGAGGGCGCACAGCTGCCGGTACTTTTGTGATCTGGGCCGCTGGGACGACCTGGTCCTTGCAGGGGATGTGGCGTCAGCAAGCAGAGTGTATGTCATGTGAAATTGTAGTCACCACACTGATGGCGTGACGCCCTGTGCTGTGTCAGGAAGGCCCGAGTTGAGCCAAGCTGGCGCCCGGAGCGGAGGGCGTGGTCCTGGCGATCGGTCCATGGAGCCTCTGACATTGCGGCTGTTCTGAACCTGTGCCCGCAGTTCTATCCTATGACAGTGCTCTCCAGCTCTTACAGTAGTTCACAGCGTGGGATGATATGTTCATGAGCCATGCTGACAACTCGACTGCAGGCATGGTGGCCGAACCTTGCCAGCGTACAATCAGGGTTGCTACCTGGCATCCAGGAGCGCCCTGCCCGCCGCCACCTCGTCCTTGTCTGCCCCCGCCTGCCCCGCCCTCTTCAGCGCGTGCAGCACCGTGCGCTCCACCCGCTCGTCCCACCAGGCCCCTGCCGGCTCCTTAGGCATGTGCCTGGGGGTGGTGGAAGGAGGAGGCTGGGTAAGGTGGTGCTGCGGTTTTGGATCCAGGTGCGCTGTGCACCAGCCTGGACCACCCCTAGTTCCAATCCAAAATTACACCCGTCCCTTCCATGATGGCAGTCACACACTTGGACGACCGCTCCAGCCACCATGATGTGGGCATCACTTCCATTGGCCCCCCATCCAACAACGCCCCCCTCTCCTCCTCACCTTTGCCAGCGCAGGAGGGGGAGGAGGTAATCCACCAGCGTCGCCTCATTGGCGGGCTGCCTCAAGGCCACATACAGCAGGCAGCGCAGCTCCGCCCACGTGGGCAGCTGCGGCGGCCCGGGGGTCCCCGCCCCGCGGTCCCCGCCCGCGCTCTCCCCAGCCGCCCCCGACCTCGCCAGGGCAAAGGCCGCGGCGGCGTCCCCCAGCACCACCAGCCGGCCCAGCACCGCCAGCCTGTCTGCCGGGGTGGCAGTGTCGCCCAGGCTCTGCAGCGCCTCCAGCGCCGCGAGGGCCTGACCGCCGTCCTTTCTACCAGTTTCTTGCCCCTCCGTGGCCCCCTCGACCCCGCCCGCGATGCCCGGCAGCACGCAAGTCCGGAAGACGGCGTCCGACAGCGAGGTGGCCGCCAGGCGCTCGGCGACGGCGCCCTCGCGCTGCGCTGCGCTGCGCGCCGGGGACGGCGCGGCGCGCCGCACCAGCGGTGCGTCCTCCTGCTGGTACAGCACCCAGGCGGGGCTGTTGGCGCCGCCAGGCACGCCGCTGCCGGAACGCAGCGCGGCCGCCCAGGTCAGCGCCAGCACGTCGGCGGGCGAGGCCAGCGCGCGTGCGGCGTGCGCGGTGGCCGCCACGCGCCGCAGCGCCGGCCAGTCGCCCGCCGCGGCGCGCGACCGCGTCGCGGCCCGGAACAGCCAGGCCGACGCCGGGCCGGGGTCCGGCGTCTTGCCGCCCGCCGCCGCCCCCGGCCCCGGCACCGCCAGCGCAAGCGCCTCGTCCACGCACCCCTCGGCCAGGAGCACGGCCATGAAGGCGGCGGTGGCCGCCGGGCCCGGGTGCGGCGCGGCGGCGTAGGCGCGGCGCGCCTCCGCCGCGCGCTCCGGCACGTCCCCGCACCGCTCCAGCACTGCGAGCAGCGCCTG